AATACACATTCCCTTTGCTTGTCTAACCACCCGCTTCCCCCCACCCCACACCCTTCTGCTAAAGACCCCCAGTCAGTCCTGTCAATCATGGTCCATCACTAGTCAAGTCTTAAATCCCCCACTTACTTTTGCCTCAAACCAGACAGAACCTCTGTTTCCCTGAGAGAAGGAGAGAGACAGAGAAAGAAAGAAAGAGAGAGGTAGAGAGAGAGAGAGCTCGGAAGACATGATCAGAACATACAAAATTCTTTGTCAGGGAATTGTCCATGTAAACATGGATGGATGGGTTATTTAATACAGGTGTTTGTTTGTACAAATTTAATTTAAGTAAAATTTGCAATAAATAAAACATTATAAAGGTGAAATAATATTAACCATTAATTATTACTGCATTTTAATCCTTGTAATTTTAACCAAACAGGGAATATTGTAAAACGTTATATTCATTATAAAAAAATGGATCATACACATCAAATTTTTATTTTTATTTTTTTACAAATAAATATTTCACATGAAGAGATGTCAATCATTATAAAAAATAACTTCATAGACATGGAGACGACGACTATTCTCCTTTTAATGAATCGTTAGTCAATTATATCTTCGTTTAACACTTTCATAACTAGCATTATGCTTCATTCAACTTTTAAAAAGAGTCAAGTATATCATCTTAACATCATTTCTAAACTACAGTTACTCTCTGATACATCTTTATGCGTTAAAGTTACTCATATATCATATTTATGCATCAATGTCACATTCAAGGACATCAAAAATACTATTCGAGCTAACAAAGTTATTCTCAGAGACAAAAAATACTATTTGAGCTAACAAAGTTATTCTCAGAGACATCAAAGTTTTTATCAGAATCAGTAAAGGTACTCTCTGAAACATTGAGAATAGTATTCACACCATCAAAGTTATTCTCAGAGACATCAGAGTTATTCGCTAATACTTCATCGAGCACCAAAGTTATTCTCATGTCATCTTTATTCGTCAGTGTCACAATCAGAGACATCAAAATACTATTCAAGCTATCAAAGTTTTTCTCAGAGACACCAAAGTTATTATCAGTGTCAACAAAGGTAATCTCTGAGGCATTAAGAATACCATTCATGACATCAGAGTTGGTCTCTAGGACATCCTCAAGCCACAAAGTTATTCTCTAGGACACCTTTGAACATAAACGAAAGGTTCTAAAATGCATTCAAGCATTAAAGTTATTCTCATGTAATTTTTATGCATCAATGTCACACTCAAAGACATCAAAATAATATTTGAGCTAACAAAGTTATTTTCAAGGACATCAAAAATACTATTTAAGCTATCAAGGTTATTCTCAGAGACACCAAAGATATTATCAGAGTCAACAAAGGTAATCTCTGAGACAATAAGAATACTATTCATGCCATCAAAGTTATTCTCAGATACATCAAAGTTATTCTCTAAGACATCCTCAAGCATCAAAGTTATTCTTTAAGTCACCATCGAACATCAAATAAACTTTTTAAGTCATATTCAAGCATCAAAGTTGTTCTCTAAGACATCTTCGAGCATCAAATAATTTTTCTAAGACATCTTTGAGCATCAAATAATTTTTCTAAGACATCTTCGAGCATCAAATAATTTGTCTAAGACATCTTCGAGCATCAAAGAAACTCTTTAACAATTACCAAGACAATCACTGCCATATAATTCAAGCTTTGCTTCAATCAATTCCAACACAACAACACAACTCCTGTTTCAAATCATACCTCACACCAGACTGACTTAGTTTTTGCAGTTACATGTTTTTTGCAGTGTTTTTTTTTTTGCAGAATATCACATTTTGCAGAGAGACTTTAGTTTAGCATAGCATGTTTATGAAGTTCATTACTTGTTATTTTTAGTGATTTCACTCTACCATACATTTCAGTCTACTCATTATCTAAGGGCATTTGTCTGAAATGTGGTATTTTAGTGCTATCAAGGAATGTTTGTTAAATATGGGTATTTAGTCATTTCACGGGTTAATTGATCAAATGAAGTTTATGCATTTTAAGAGGTATTGTTTAGGAGAGGTTTTTATGCATTTATATAGATATTTGTTTAACATGGCTATTTGTCAAAGATTGAGTATTTAAGCATTATCCAGGGATATTATTTTAAATATTGGTTTTCATTTACTTCAGGGGTTAACTGCTCAAATAGTTGTTTATCCATTTCAAGAGGTGTTTGTAAAGATGTGATGTTTATGCATGTGTTAGGCATTTTTGTTGGGTATAATATCCTTAACCCTATCTTTTCAGATATTTTTGGTTTAAGTAAATTCATATATTTTTCTCCTCTGTGCATGCTGTGTTAAATATTTGATTTTGGTTCACCTTCTCTTTTAACCGTCTATTTTCACTGTTAATCTTATATATCCTGGCACCTAACCTTTTTCTCACTCTTTTATCCTCTCTAAATTATATTTTAAGATTCAACATCTTAGCTTCTCACATCATTTTCTTAGTCGTTTCTCAGTGTATTCATATCTGTCTCAATGTCTTAGCTTTTGTTTCACTTAGTCTTTGTTTTCTCTCGATGTCTGTCTCGGTCTCTGTCTCTATATTTATATTTGACAATGACTGACTTTTGTATTCAGACAATGGTGTTTCATTGTCTCAGTCTTTTATTTTCCATCTTAGTGTGGTATATTTTTTTCTATCTCCTTCTCTTAGTTTCAAACTCTCTCTTTCTCTCATCCCATCTCATCTTTATCTTTTCTTCTTTGTAAAAATGTAATTAAAGATACTTTAGACTAAGAAAGATAGAAGAGAGACAGACTGAGATGGATATATACATATATATATATATATATATATATATATATATATATATATATATATATATATATATATATATATATATATATATATATATATATATATATATATATATATATATATATATATATATATATATATATATATATATATATATATATATATATATATATATATATATATATATATATATATATATATATATATATATATATATATATATATATATATATATATATATATATTTCAGTCATTGAACCATAAACAATACCTTTAACCAGATTTAGGTTTTGTAGAGAGAGATAGTTTTGTTTTTCAAGCTGTAACAATGAACTAGCAATCATAACTGCAGAAGGTTGATTTGTAATGGCAAATGAAATTTCATAACACAAAGCAGTAACCACATTTTCACATATCGTATTGAATGACAAATTCAACACGTTGTTTGGATTGGATTTCTTTGTTCATTCACTGTTTTTAATCAGACATTCTAACTTGTGCTTTAGAATTTTCTGTAACTGATTAGTTTTTTCTGCGTAAGTCACTATATATTTCATCCACCAGAAGATTTTTCCAGTCCAAAGGTATTACGTGATGAAAGTTCCTTTTTGCTGTATCCAGTCTTTTGAAAACAAAACGTTCACTTAGTCTTGTAACTTCAATGTGATTTTTCAAAATGGTAGCACAGAAATCGCTGAACGGTTCATCACCTAATTTGATGAGACGGGCTGGTAGCAGAGACTTGGGTACAACAGCGACATTTATATGAGGCGACAGTTATATGAGGCGACAGGTATATGAGGTGATAGTTATATGAGGAGACAAGTATATAAGGCGACAGGTATATAAGGCGACCGGTATATGAGGCGACCGATATATAAGACGACAGGTATATGAGGCGACAGGTATATGAGGCGACAGGTATATGAGGTGACAGGTATATAAGGCGACAGGTATATAAGGCGACAGGTATATAAGGCGACAGTTATATGAGGCGACAGTTATATGAGGCGACAGTTATATGAGGCGACAGGTATATAAGGCGACAGGTATATAAGGCGACAGGTATATAAGGCGACAGTTATATGAGGCGACAGTTATATGAGGCGACAGGTATATAAGGCGAAAGTTATATGAGGCGACAGTTATATGAGGCGACAGGTATATAAGGCGAAAGTTATATGAGGCGACAGTTACAAGAGGCGACAGGTATGTAAGGCGACAGGTATGTAAGGCGACAGTTATATGAGAAGACTGTTATATGAGGACACAGGTATGTAAGGCGACACTTATATGAGGAGACAGTTATATGAGGCTACAGGTATATAAGGCGAAAGTTATATGAGGCGACAGTTATATGAAGCTACAGTTATATGAGGCGACAGTTATATGAGGCGACAGGTATATGAGGTGACAGTTATATGAGGAGACAAGTATATAAGGCGACAGGAATATAAGGCGACCGGTATATGAGGCGACCGATATATAAGGCGACAGGTATATGAGGCGACAGGTATATAAGGCGACAGGTATATGAGGCAACAGGTATATGAGGCGACAGGTATATGAGGCGATAGGTATATGAGGTGACAGGTATATAAGGCGACAGGTATACAGACTGATCTGTAATTTTTCTACAATGAGGCACTTTTTTGTATTATTTTTAGTTGGAGGGGGGGGGGGGATTGTGGGGGAGGGCGTATCGGAAAACGGCAAAAATTTAAGTGTGATGATCGCAAACAGTGACAGGTCTGTAAATCAAAAAGCTTTTGGGTTTAGCTTTTGACGTCAGGATGATTCTTTAAGAGAAATGAAAGCTGCAAACGATTAGTAAACAATAGTGCTAAAAATTGCATACATTTGTGTGACAAACTGACAAGGATAAGTTTATGTCAGCTGAATATCATTTGTATTGTTTTCCAGGATCTTCAGGCTTCCTGGACGGTGCTGAAGGTGAAGAGAACTATTTACAAAGTAAGTTTTTCAATGCACGTTAATGTCGCATGCAATTCTTAACAAACGCATATATGTTCAAAAAAAGATACCAAATTTATTTCCAGTCATTTCAAAGCTCTGAATAACTTACATATCATGTCAGAATTATGTTAGTGTGAAATAACCACAAAACTTATTATAGCATTACTTGATGAAATTAATTTTCCAACGTAGATTTTCTTGCAACTCTGAGCTTACCATGAAGGAGAAAGGGATGAGTGATGCTGAGGGAGAATATACCAGTCAACAGGAGAGGTGATGCAACTCTCAACATCTTCGGCAGCCTCCTGCAGTGAACAAAATTAATACCTTAAATAGCATAAAGTACATGCTCTCATTATGATCTCTCTCAATATATATATATCTTCCTCCCAGTCTCTCTTTCTATCTCTCTCTTTATATATATATATATATATATATATATATATATATATATATATATATATATATATATATATATATTATTAAATATGACCGAAAAAGTAAGATTAATAATTCTAACACGAATTTTCTCAATCTTTCGTACATTACGCTTCACTGTTGGAGGTAAATCAAAGATCAATTCTCCAAAATTCATTTTTATTTCTAGTCTGACGCGACACGGGCGCGTTTCGTAAAACTTATTACATTTTCAAAGACTTTAGTTCACAAATACACAACTGAATAGAACTTACGTATCTCCGATTTTATATCTACATTTGAGTGAGGTGGATGGGGTGGTGTGGCATTAACACAAGACAGAACAAAGTGTGGTATTAATAGGGTATTAATTTCATCAACACAAGACAGAACAAGAGTATTAATAGGGTATTAATTTCATCAACACAAGACAGAACACGAAGCAATGGGTATTGAATAGAAGTGTTTGTAGAAAGCCTATTGGTCCATATTTCTTGATGCTTCTATATTGGAGCGGAGTCTTGAGGTGGGTAGAATATAGTTGTGCAATAATTGGCTGTTGATTGCTGGTGTTGACTTCTTGATGTGTAGTGCCTCGCAAACGTCAAGCCGTCTGCTATCGCTGTATCTATCGATGATTTCTGTGTTGTTTGCTAGGATTTCTCTGGCGATGGTTTGGTTGTGGGAAGAGATTATATGTTCCTTAATGGAGCCCTGTTGCTTATGCATCGTTAAACGCCTAGAAAGAGATGTTGTTGTCTTGCCTATATACTGGGTTTTTTGGAGCTTACAGTCCCCAAGTGGGCATTTGAAGGCATAGACGACGTTAGTCTCTTTTAAAGCGTTCTGTTTTGTGTCTGGAGAGTTTCTCATGAGTAGGCTGGCCGTTTTTCTGGTTTTATAGTAAATCGTCAGTTGTATCCTCTGATTTTTGTCTGTCGGGATAACGTTTCTATTAACAATATCTTTCAGGACCCTTTCCTCCGTTTTATGAGCTGTGGAAAAGAAGTTCCTGTAAAATTGTCTAATAGGGGGTATAGGTGTTGTGTTAGTTGTCTCTTCAGAGGTTGCATGGCTTTTCACTTTCCTTCTTATGATGTCTTCGACGAAACCACTGGAAAAGCCGTTATTGACTAGGACCTGCCTTATCCTACAGAGTTCTTCGTCGACTTGCTTCCATTCTGAGCTGTGGCTGAGAGCACAGTCGACATATGCATTAACAACACTCCTCTTGTACCTGTCTGGGCAGTCGCTGTTGGCATTTAGGCACATTCCTATGTTTGTTTCCTTAGTATAGACTGCAGTGTGGAAACTTCCGCCTTTTTCCATGACTGTTACATCTAGAAAGGGCAGCTTCCCATCCTTTTCCATCTCGTAAGTGAAACGCAGCACGGAACTCTGCTCAAATGCCTCCTTCAGCTCCTGCAGATGTCTGACATCAGGTACCTGTGTAAAAATGTCGTCAACATACCTGCAGTATATGGCCGGTTTCAAGTTCATGTCGACTAAGACTTTTTGCTCGATGGTACCCATGTAGAAGTTTGCAAACAGGACACCTAGGGGAGAACCCATGGCGACCCCATCTACTTACTTATACATGTGCCCATCCAGGCTCAAGAAGGGTGTCTCTTTAGTACAAGCTTGGAGTAGTTTCCTCAGAATATTTTCTGGTATGTCAAGAGTACAGGCTGGATCACGATACACTCTGTCGGCTATCATTCCGATTGTCTCGTCCACAGGTACGTTGGTAAACAGCGATTCTACGTCCAACGAGGCTCTTATCCCTGTGTCCCGTGTGCCCCGCAGTAAGTCAACAAATTCCTTTGGAGACTTCAGGCTGAAGGCGCAAGGAACATAAGGAGTCAGCAGGCCGTTGAGTCGCTTCGCCAGTCTGTACGTGGGTGTGGGTATCTGGCTAATGATTGGCCGAAGTGGGTTTCCAGGCTTGTGCGTCTTGACATTTCCATACGCATATCCAGGTTTATATTCCCCAATGATCTTTGGCAGGTGGAGTCCGGATTTCTTGGCGTTCACAGTTTCGATCAGTTTGTTAACAAACTGATCGAAACTGTGAACGCCGTGATCGAAACTGTGAACGATGTCTCCCGTCTCCTGCGTGACGGGAGACATCTCCCGTCACGCAGGGTACAGTCGCGCCTCCACAGATCTCCAGTATCTTCTATTGATACTGGGAATGGCTCAAAAGGGCCACCACTTACGGGCTATTCATGCCCGTGCCACCTTTTGGGTGGCTTAATCTTCATCAATCAATCAATCAAGTTCTATTCAGTTGTGTATTTGTGAACTAAAGTCTTTGAAAATGTAATAAGTTTTACGAAACGCGCCCGTGTCGCGTCAGACTAGAAATAAAAATGAATTTTGG